AATTACTTCAATGGAAGGTTTCCAGATGGATATGCGGAGCAAATCCATCTGGCGGAGTCAGGTTAGTGGACCCGTTCATCCGTTTCTATTTACATGTTTTCTAAACACAAGGGTTTGTTGGGCTGCTGTATAAAGCCTGGAACTCTACGCTATTTCTGACATTTTGAATAGAAAAAAATCTTCCTGGATGGGAAGAGAAACGTCTTCAAACTAGGAAACAATGTCCGGAGGATTGTTTTTTTTTTTTCCCAAGTATTTTGGAGTGACAATGACCTGGATGACTGAGAATCTTCACCAGCACACAGTGTCGATGTAAACGAGTGGCTGTGCTCTCCTTCAGGTTCTGTTGAAGGCCACGCTGAAAGGTCTGCCTCAGAGGGTCCTGGGCTCGGCTTCCTACCAAGTGGGCAAGATGGACGTGCTGAACGTGAGAATATCGCGAGGCTTCGGTCCTTGTAGGTGCGCTGCATTCTGGGTAACATGCTGCCATCTCTGTCTGCTTCCTCAGGGGACCCCGGCGCTCTTCCTCATCCTCCTCCTCTTCAACAGCGGCAGGCTGCCGGCCTACGTAGAGGACGAGAGGTCAGTCTGCACTCCTGTTTGAGCAGAAAACCAGGGAGACGTTAAACCGGATCCAGCCAGCCTGACGCGTCTACTTGTCCGTTTGCAGGTTTTTCCACTGCCTGCAGTCGCTGGTCACCTGCGGCCTGACCGGACCCGCTTCTCCGCTGGCGTTCGCCGAGGCCGTGCTGAGCGCCATGAGCAGCTGCGCAGCGTCTCTGCAGAACAAGGAGCAGCTGTGCAGGATGTGGAGCTCGGTGGTCGGCCCTCTGACAGACACCATCACACAGGTGGGGGAGGGGGGTGAGACTGGTGAGGGTTTCCAATGGCAACCGGCTTCCTGTGACGCTATGTTTACACCGTAGCAAAAAAAAGCTTCTGCCGCTTCTTTATTGATGCTTATCCTCATTGAGATCAGACGTCCAGTAAAGTTTGATGCTTCTGCTGCTCCTGTGTTCAACGCCAGAGAGCAGCTTTGCTATATCAGCTGTGATCAGCAGGTAAAAAGTAGTTAGAATCTATGTTGAAGTGAGAAAGTCCTCCTGAAAACTCAGACAAACACCCGTTTCTTAAGAATCTAATCTCTCCCGGAGTCTCAACATATTCTAACCTATATTTTCTATTATTTAGATTTTATCTGCAATCTGTAGTAGCCAAAAGTAGAAAATAATCATCAGTCTTTAATAGGGCTG